AAAATAATTAATATCGACAAAGTTGAGGACACGGCACGGTGGGGTCTCAATCTTATCGAACAATCCGGAAAGAAAAGAATGCCAAATCGATCGATCTTCGTCGAAAACTTTCCACCTCGCGCGCACTCTCGCACGCACTCTCGCACGACTAAACAGAGGCATCTGGAACTTTCACACCTAAGTTTTCTTTATTACCTGCTCCTTTTGCAGAAAGATGCGACTTGGTCGAGGGAATCCCAGAAATTTCCAAGAAATTTCGAATTAATTGTTGCCTCGGGTAGTTGCCCACTTTTGAAGTTGATGTTTACGAGTAAATTACGCAAACAGCTGGCTTGATAAAGGTGCCAAGAGGAAGTTGACTCGGCTTTGCCATCTATAAAAGAACTACGGGAGGAGAAAGCATCCAACGAAGCAACCGCCCAAACCATCCCTCTGTCGCAGATATCTTCGATGCGTGTGGAGTACACATCCGGTACGGTTAATTTGTTGCTCAAATTTACGTTATTGTCCTTACGCGTTTCTATTGCACCATCATTTCATTTTAGCGGTCAGGTTTCGGTGGTGCTGAAAGAATGCTTTTATAATTTTTTATTTTAATAAATTTATAGGTTTTTAATCTTTTATTTTATATTATAACACTTTTAATTCATTATTTGTAAAAATTTAAAAAAATTTACCCTTACTTAACATCTGATTATAAGTTTTATTAATTTTATTAACTAACTGTTAGTTTTATTAGTTGACTATTAATTTTATTAACTGACTGTTAGTATTCTATTAATAGAATTAATAAATAAAATTAAATTTAAATTTTGTATTTTTTATAATAGAATATTAACAATCAACTAATAAAGTTAACAATCAGTTAATAAAATTAACAGTCAACTAACATGATATTAAATAAGAGTTATTTTCTCTGATTCATATAGATGAAGGATTAAAAGTATCATGGTTTAAGATGAGGGATTAAAAGTGTCATAATATAAGGTTAGAGGCTAAAAGTGTTATAATATAAGGTTGAAGTTAAAACCTACAAATTTATTAAAATAAAATGCTAAAAGTTTTTGCTGGTTTTTGGTATCCACTTTTGATTATTTAGGCAAGACTTCCCGTGATGGTTTTTGTTACCCACATAAATGATAAGTAATGATAAATTATATAAGAGATAATTTTTTTTTCCTTTTCTTAAATCTTTTTCACTCAACTTAAGGTTCAAATTTGAAATTTTTAATTTAAAATCTCAAATTCTTAATTATTAAATCATCCCTTAGTGGTACAAGGTCATATAGATATATTTTAGACTTTGATTTATTTAATTTTAAGAAAATGATTTAATGATAATTTTTAATACTATTTTTTGATACAATTTTATGTGTTAGTTAAATAATATATTCTTTTTATTTATTTAAAACTCGTAATATTATATGCATTCATCCATTAAATAATATGTAAAAATTATATTAAAAAATTATAATAAAAAAAATTTCCCTATAGTGCTGTCTTTAATTTTATCAGTTTATAATTGTTTAAAGTGTTTGAAAACATCAATATATAAATTAATTTTAAATTCTTAAGTAATAAATATTAATTATTTTAATAAATTACTATATCAACTAATATTTAGAGGCATTAACTGTTCTTAACAATCTATCCAAACACAACAATAGTATTTGTGGGAGTTTAACGTTCATATACGTGGCAATAATCAAGCCCAAAACTTTCATTTGTGTAAATTGATTTTAACATATGTATATTGATTTGAACTTTTGACACACTAGCTTAAGAAACATGCATCTTAACCTTTTTCATTTTTTTGTTTAACAGCAATTTATTCATTGGAGTACATTGGCGGTACTCATCCCTTACATATGTAGATTGCATTATAATACATACTATAGGCATAACCTTCCAAACTATTTCACCACGATTCTATTATATGGCTAACAGTATCAAAATGCGTCTTAAAAATTAAGCTAAAAGTTCACCTACTTGTGGCCGTTAAATTTGTTAATATTCTTAAATGTTAAGAACTAAACCTGTTGGGGTTTGCTTTGGCATAAGGGGTAAGGACAGATGCTACTTATGTCTAGAAATGCATGTTCAAATCCTTTTATTGTGATTACAAACAGTTTTAATGTGTTGTGTTTCCCACTATTAAAGATGAAATTTTCCTAACCTTTATAAATAAGACAATTTACAAGTACGTACTTGTAAAATTAGTTATATGAAAAATTCACATGTCTATGTTATCAAAAAAAAAAAAAATTGCTAAGAACTGATTCATCAGGTACTTAAGTTGTTAAACTGCGAGTCAACTTGGGCTTATGTCACAAGATGAGATCTTGACAAATTATTTGGTGAAAGATAAATGAATAAACAAAGGTGTACACGTTGGAAAAAAAAAAAACCCAAGGCTGTACATGTTGTAGCAAAACCAGAGTTTCAAATGCCAAATCACTAAATCAAGAGGCTCTAATATCATTTTAATTTAAGAAACTGTTTCGTTTAAAAATTTATAAACTTAAGTTGTCATTCGATGCCTAAACTATACATTAATTTCTAACACTATAAAGCTATATATTTGGTTTTTTTTTTTTTTCGCAGAAGAGGTGAAGGACAATGCCCCGATTAAACCACCAAATCAAAAAATTGAGGGCAGAGATGAAAGAAATTGGTAAGGAACAAAGAAGTATAAGAAAGGGACAAAAAAAGGTGCGAGAAAAACTAGAAGCTGTGGAATCAAAATGCCAGGAGCTCCGCAGAGAGACTAAGCTGGTAATACAGCAGAGTAACAACACCAGAATCCGTTTGGCTCTTATGCTTCAAATCCTCAAAGCAAGACAAGCGAACGATTTTGTCAAAGCAACTCTCCTCACCCAGGCCTTACGGTTAGTTTTGTATTTATTAATTAAAAATTAATTTCAATTATGAATTAATATTATTATATTCAACAATTATTAAAAAGGCTAGATACAAACGAACTATGCATGGTGTGGTTTTAGGGCCTAGTAATTAAAGAAAAATTATTATATAGTTTAAATTATATCAAATTGCACAATAAAAACCATTTGATAAAAGACAAATCCCTTAATAATGGGAGTCTTCTTTCATCTGATGATGCCTATTTTGCAATCCTAACTACCTATCTTACAATTTAGTATAATTTAGACTGTAAAATAGGAAATCCAATAGTCAAATAGTTAACTATATACAGAGACTTAAAAAGAATTACCTTATAAAACAAAGTATTCAGAAAACCAAAAAAAAATAAAAAAGTGAAGTGTAGTCTGCTTTGCGCAAACTATACTTTACTTAGCTATTGATTGAAGGGTAGACCCTCGATATTGAGAACTATTAAGTGAAAAAATCTCATATTAGAGAAATATTAAGAAGATATGTGAATTAAATATAAAAAAAATCGCTCCATCTATTATCAATTGATTTTATATTGAATGCAAGTTTTATATTAAAACTCACATATTTAATTTTCACATAATATTAAAGCCTAAGATTTTGTTCTTGGGAAGCTTGAGATCTTGAGACAATTTGAGCTTGTATGAGGAGAAGGCATATCAAGCCTATTTGTTACCCCAAGATTCACTTGACAAATTGGGCCTGGATGTAATAGGACTTTTTAAGTCTGTGGCCTAAGATCAATACCGAGATTGTATGTGAGGACAGACTTTTTAATGGAAAAATCTTGAAGAAATATTATAAGAGGACATGTGAATT